CGGCGGGAAGAGGCGCGCCGGGCGGGCGCCCCAGCCGTTATCCTCCGAGCACATGACGCAGCCTGTGCAATTCTCAAACAAGGCAGCGCTCGCTGCAAGAGAAAAATGAGCAGAAAGGTTGTGGCCAGAGCCGCCCTTAGGAGTTGTGAGCCCTACGCAGGGCTACTAAACAGGTGCCCCTCGGCCCCATGGCAGCCGGGAGGTAGGTGGGAGGCAATGTATTCTGTAGAGCTGCGATTTGATCATCTCCAGACACACAGTAATGAAACAGTTTTAAAAGGAATTGTAAACTCCTGGAGCTTAACACAGTAAATTCCGAAAGGGGCAGGATAGAAAAGTTTAGAAAAGAGGAGCCTGAGGGGGGATAGGATAGAGGTCTATAAAATCATGAGTGGTGTGGAGAGGGCCGATAAAGAAAAGTTATTTATTAGTTCCCATAATAGAAGAACTAGAGGACACCAAATGAAATTAATGGGGAGCAGGTTTAAAACTAATAAGTGAAAGTTCTTCTTCACACAGCGTGTAGTCAACCTGTGGAACTCCTTGCCAGAGGAGGCTGTGGAGGCTAGGACTATAATAGAGTTTAAAGAGAAGCTAGATAATTTCATGGAGGTTAGGTCCATAAAAGGCTATTAGCCAGGGGATAAAATGGTGTCCCTGGCCTCTGTTTGTCAGACGCTGGAGAGGGATGGCAGGAGACAAATCGCTTGGTCATTGTCTTCGGTCCACCCTCTCTGGGGCACCTGGTGCTGGCCACTGTGGGCAGGCAGGCTACTGGGCCAGATGGACCTTTGGTCTGACCCAGTACGGCCGTTCTTATGTTCTTATGATAGACCTGGGGTTGGCAAATGCCTGTAAAACAGCATCATGCCCCCGGGAATGGCTCTTTCCCAGGTCCAGCTGGTTGCTCTGGCAGGCTTTTCCCTTGTACATGGACTAGCTCCTCTCCGGAGGACACTGAGGCACAGACCAGGGATAGGAAGAGGCGGGCATTAAGACCCAGCGGTGCCCCAGATTTTCAGGTGCCCATTTGGGGCCCTGGATGTGGCCATCAGCTGGTGCATTCGAAGGAGCTAGGAGCAGGGGGAGGGAAAAAGGAAGGAACAAACAACACCAAGCTTTTTGTCCTACGTAACGCCCATCGCCCAAGGCTGGGCTGAAAGGCACCAAATGCAGCACCCAGTGGGACCCAGGAGGAGTTAGCTTAGGGCTCTCCACTGCGCCCATCTCCCCGGTGTCTGCCCATGATGTGTGATGTTAGGGGCTGTGCCTTTAAGGGCTGAGCGTCCCAGACACAGTCCCGGGGAGCTGCTGTGCAGCTCTGGGTGGGGTTTTTGAACCCACAGGCCAGCCAGTTGGAATTGGACCCAGGTGAAAGCAGAGAGCTCTTGTGAGCACGTTCAGTGCTGAGCAATGCCTCCTGTAATTTCCCATCAATGTGTAGAATACATTTTGTTCTGTGCGCCAAGGCATGTGGGAATGTGCACCACCCGCAGAAACACCTGCTGCCGGGCATGAGCGCTCTGCTAATCAGCGGGGCAGCATTTGACTCTCTTCTGGGTGGCTGCCCATGCACTCAGCTTCGCGGGAGCCCCGCTGGGGCACCAGCCATGCCTCATTGAGTTGTGGCAGAGGAAGGTGCAAGAATCCCTGCAGCAGGCCAGGAGGGGGTTGAACCGCTTCTCAGCCCCCCCCATGCAGGCTACACCCAGGTGGGAGCTCTCAGCTGGGCTTCCCCACTCACACTTCCCCCCTCCCTTCCCAGCACTGGCCTCCGCTCCACCCCTTTAAGGCTCTCACGCCTCTGCCCCCTGTTCCCAGCTCTGCACCTGGGCACTGGCGTGCGGCCTGCGTGCGTTCGCCCTGGCGATGGGACGCTGCAGACAGAACCCCGGGGAAAGGGGGTTCCAGCCCCACTGCCTCCTGCAGGTAGACTTGCTCCGGACGGCTGGTGCGCCCCCAGCCCAGCCAGCGGCCCCTCCTGCGCCCTTTAGAATCATAGAACCATAGAGCTGGAAGAGACCTCAGAAGGCCATCAAGTCCAGCCCCCTGCTCTAGGCAGGACCAATCCCAACTAAATCAACCCGGCCAGGGCTTTGTCAAGC